TGTTACATACGCAGCAAGGGGTGTGAGAAACATAAACAGGTATCGCTATCAGTGTAGTACCTGACGTAAAAGTTTTTCAGCTCCCACGGGCGGTCTCGTATCATCAATCGCGTCGTATTTATCCTTTTAAGTATAAATGTTATCTACGCAGCAAGGGGTGTGAGAAGCATGAACGTGTATCGCTATCAGCGTAGTACCTGCAGTAAAAATTTTTTGCTCCCACGGACGGTCTCACATCATCAATCGCGTCGTATTTATCCTTATAAGTATAAATGTTATCTACGCAGCAAGGGGTGTGAGAAGCATGAACGGGTATCGTTATCAGTGTAGTACCTGAAGTAAGAGTTTTTCAGCTCCCACGGACGGTCTCGTATCATCAATCGCGTCGCATACGGATAGATGTTGTTATCAACGCAGCAAGAGGTTTGAGAAGCATGAACTAGTATCGTTATCAGTGTAGTACGTGCAGTAAAAGTTTTTTACTCCCACGGGCGGTCAGGAGGTAACAATCAATGGAATAATAATCCGCGCGTGTGATTTTCACGGGGCAGTCAGGAGGTAGCGACCAGTGATTTATCGATAAGCCACGCGTACTCTGTGATAGATGGATGTCGTAATTTACTAGCGGAATTGATAAGCCACGTATATGATGATGTTTGTAGAAAATTTTCGAATGTTTTACCCGAAAGCACATGTCTTCTACATCAGGTTTCTGATTTCTTGAAGAATAACTTCTTGATTAATTGCTTTAACAACATTTGTTGTTTTTTTTTTTGATTTATAAACAGTGCTTTTTCTTATTCGAGCCCTAATCGACGTGATTTAGTGATAATACTAGGAAGTATGCAAGAGCCGTGTGTTGCGGTTTCAGACCACGCTATCATAACGTTTCTCCCGATGCTGTTACTAAGGTATAGACAAAATTAATAATTCGAGTGTTTTGTTTATTTTCTAGTATACCATTATGATCTTGATGTCTATGTAAAAGTTAAAACACGTAGCTAACAATTTTTCTTGAATCAATTTGTCAATTCCAGGCCTTAACCGTAGTCTTTGTTCTTCATCAGTAATTTCGATCAATCGCTAAGTAGAATGTCGTCGGGCAGACCAAACCGGTGCAAATGTTCGTCTAGCTGGACTGCTTGTAAGCGTTAATTAAAATGAACTCTAGTATGAAAGTTAATATCTGCTTCTAAATACGGAATTCGTTTGATCCAGCATAGATAATTGGACTCCAAAGTCAGAAAGTCAGAAAAGCTATTTTTAGAAGCTTGCATCCCATCAGACGTTCTAGACATCATGAGCCACTCGTTTTCAGATTGAATATTGGATGTTGTGCCCTAGCCTAAGAATTAATCATGATTGCAAAAAGACGGGAGAGCAAACAACGAGTCGTTACTGAAATTTATATCTTGTTCACCAGAACGGTAATTGATTGAAAATAAAGACGCTTTTATGATAAGTAACGCATTGTCTTGTTTATTTTGCAAAAAACTAAAGACCATTATTTTCGTTACATAATGTAGAAACCTTGTTTAAGTTCTATCATTGATTTTACCAGAATTACAAAGATAATTACACGCACACAGTAAAAGTTGATATTTTTTCACACTTTTGTCTGTTATATCGAATTTTATATTTATTAGCACTTAAAAATTTCGTTCGAGAGAAAAAGTCTGTTATAATGAGTGTTCGTTATATCGATAGTCCGTTATATCGACTTTCACTGTGTACATTTTGCTAACATTTTTTATACGTGAATAACTTTCAATTAAAGAAGAGTTTATATAAACAAAACGCAACATAAGAAGAGTGTCCCGCCAAACTGGGGTGGGGCTAATCTCATTATCTAAACCATCCGAGCCACCAAAACAGGTCGGAAATCCATCGGAAGAAAAATAAGAAACAAAGACAGGCAGAGAGCGTATGTGAAAAAGATATTTATCCAATAATGAACCTGAACTTGATACATTATTAGAATATCGTTTCAAAGAATAAAAAATCTCACACCAAAAAAATAACCTTTTAGCCATGTTTGATAAATTAACGAATTATTAAGTTTATAGAAAGGAGTTGTCGTGCATAGGAGACATTAAAATGAGACCTTATCAAATGCTTTTTCCTTCAGTATTTTTTGTTCGAGAGAGTAAAAAAAATTACAAGGAATAAAGTTAGGACTGTGAAGCGAATGGACAGAAGGTTGTACTTGCTCGCTATGAAGATGCTCCGATTACGAATGTAAAGAAGCATTTTCAGGATGACAATTCTTTGTGAAAATGTAGATTGGCTATTTCTTTAATAAAATGTGCGGCTATTGTTAACAAATCCTCACCTTGACAACTCTTGCTCAAGCAAATACGTTCGGAACAATTCTTGTCTTTTAATTTTCACTTCCTCATCTTTGAATATAGGCAATCTAGCGTCTAAAATTGTCGATGTTTGTTTTCTTCCTCGCCTCGCTATTTTCCCAAGATCGTTAGTTTCACGACTCATTTTTTCAGTCGGTGTTACAGGTCTCCTGATAATGAATAATGAATTCTCGTCTACTTTTTGTTTTAATAAAGCATTTATTATTCTTAATTTTGAATTAGAGAGCCACACACGTCTTCAGGTACGTAACCGTATTCTCAGACAAGCTTTTATACCAAGAGATACAGCATTCATATAAACGTTCTAGTAAATAATTGGGCATTATTCAAACTATTCAATTTGCAATAAAGTATAAACACTACCTGAAAGAAAATATTGTACTTAGACGGGGGTTGATTAGTAAAGCGAGACTCGCAAATCATTTGCTATTGCTGTTATCCAATGCGGGAGAATTCTTGCTAACTGCACCGCCTCATTCAAATACGGATATTGACCAGGAGTGAAATTGTACTAATATATTAATTATCTGTTATATTGTAATTGTAACCATCTAACGTACGATTCCACGCCAGAAACATTTGCATTAATAAAATAATAGCTACAGGGTCGAAAAACCCATCCTCATAGGCAATTATGCCAAAGATGAGCGTGTGCAATCTAAAATATTGCGTAAATGCACATGCGTATGAAGAAGAGAAAGTGAGGTTTCGAATTTTTGCAAATATACAACATTAGATCGACATGGTATATTGAAATCAGACAGCGACTACGCGTTTTCAAATTAATGACGCAGTAAATAAGGCAAGCGATTATAGAATAATAAAGTTAGCGCAACACTATGTGACAGTTGGCAAGCAGAATCGTTCAAACTGTTTCTTGATCCAAGGAATGCTTGTTACGTCAATCTCTGCAAAGCGAATCAACATGAAAATACAGTAAATCGTAATTTATGCACAATAATAAGTATATTTATTTGCATCATTTGTTGTCGAGTGTAATGATCCAATCAGTATAATGCTATTTCCGGGTACCCGTTATATGTTGTAATATAAATAGCAAAAATGAGGCAGTAACCTATTCTAGTAGATATTACAGACTTTGTTTATTAGGATTGCTCCTCATGGAGAGCTTTATAATGCCATGACAATATTTGGGAATGTGCATGACGTCAAAGTGTCATTGAACTGAAATGTCAAAAATAAAAAAGAAAAACGCAACCGTTAATTGCTGACAAATATATACATTTTAACTATTTATACTAATTAAATTTCACCCTGCATTGCGTTTGGAAATTAGTGTAGTAGATTCCATTTATTATGATGGTAAGATTCCCGCACTAATTTATGCATGGAACGAGTGATTATTAATACACGGTTGTCGTCGCATGCTAATTAATTCATATTCAGGGGTTACTAAATTTACTAAATGGGGGAAACCACGCCCATCATCATTCACGTGATTAAAGCATGGTTGTTGACACATCTTCTAGTGCAATGACATTGATGAAATTGGCTAGTCACTTAAACCCGTGGATTTCTCTATATAAGCTTGGGCAACACGGCCCGTTTTCTTTTCACGTTTAAACTCGAACAATAATAACACTAACAACAATAACAACAATAACAAACTACCACTATGACGCACCAAGAGATCGCACAGGTTCGAAAGCCAGCTCCCAGGTTTACCGCGAAAGCTGTTGTTGACGGCGTGTTCAAGACTGTTTCCCTTGACGATTATATCAACGATCCAGAAATCAAATGTGAGTTTTGTGCCGTTGGGTTGTGGATCGCTACAGACAAATAATACTGATTTACCCTGTCATTAGATACCATCCTCTTCTTCTATCCGATGGATTTCACTTTTGTTTGTCCAACTGAGGCATGTATAGCCACCGTGGATGCATTGATCTTTTACTTTGGGACTAGCTAACCTTCTAAACGCTGCTATTGTCCTTAAATTTATTAGATCATTGCTTTTTCTGAGAATATTGAACGGTTCAGAGCGCTAAAAACGGCAGTTCTTGCTTGTTCCTGCGACAGCGAATACAGGTACGCACGCAATCATAGCTAAACGTGCTTGACTTGTGACTATTTTACTAATTCTGTTCCTTTTCTAGTCATCTTGCATGGGTCAACACGCCAAGAAAAGAAGGTTGGAGTTTATTTCTATTTCGACATCTCAAGTCGAATCACTACAAAAATCTTTAATTTGACGACTCATTTTATTCAACTCAGGTGGCCTTGGTCCCATGAAGATTCCTCTTATTGCCGATAAAACTCACGAAATTGCCAAGAAGTATGGTGTCTATCTGGAACAGGACGGGTTCTCCCTTCGGGGCCTATTCATCATTGATGGTAACGGTATTGTGCGGCAGATCACAATTAATGGTATGATTTTTGTCTTCTTTTTTTGCTTCTATTTGGGAGATAAGCACGCTGTACGCCGTAAATAACTAAATCTTATTTTCTTCCTCCCATAAGACACACAAGTGGGCCGCAGTATTGATGAAGCGCTACGTCTCCTCGAGGCGTTCCAGTTTAACGACGAATTTGGTGAAGTTTGTCCTGCCAACTGGAAAAAGGGTGCTGCAGTAAGTTTTCACATGTTTTTGTTGAGAAATAAAAAAAAGTATTGACACTAAATTTACTTATTGTTGATATGATTAACCCGTTACAGACAATTAAGCCCAACGTTCATGAGAGCAAAGAATACTTTGGACAACAAAGCTAAGGCGTCGTTATTGGTTTACTAAAATATGACAATGGTATATAAATAAAAATTACGTTCACGTGATATGGTTAGGCTGAGTTGATCGGGTTGATTACACACAATTCTATAGTTCCCCAATTTGGAGGATAACGGATCGGGGCGGATATTATTGCATTCCCAATAAACAAAAAAAAATTTTTTAATTGCCAAAGAACTGTAGTCTTGTCTTTTTCTCCCTGTTCGCGTCTATTTAATACACCTGGTAATGGACTCGGCCTCAAATACGGTTACCCTCGCTGAGGCTCTCGTAGAGAAGAAGCCTATCCCACGTGGTAATAACCTGTTAACTGTGCTTAATTGCAATATGCACGGCGTGAAACGCGTCAGAACGTTACTAAGTACGCATACCTATACTCGTTAACAGACGAGAAGACATTACGCAAGATAGCTTACGCAATAAGGGCGCAATTTAACATTGAAATCTTAATAAAACAACGAGAAATAAAGCTAATTAACGAAGAATTAAGAAAAGCCGTTGAAACGAGAGAGACGTTGAGAGCATGCATACTAGACGGTATGTTAGTTAACCTTGTGCGAAGAAACAAGTCTCAGGGAACTAGGTGGCAAAACTAAACGTGCAATAGGTTCTGCAAGCAGTGAGTAGGTGTTTCGACTAGTACATTCTCTCCCGAAAAAGATTAGCAATTGGTCTAGTATATTTGGTTGAAATAACATTACCTCTAACAATTATAGAGTGCCTATTGTGCTCGGTCCTCGTTCAGGATTTCGATATAGATTATATACTATATAATGCTTATTGTTTCATGTTGGAAGAGTAGAAAGGCTCTGCTATAAGAGTTTTCACGTTTGAGTTGTTCTTTCCATGCGTCCATATATTTCCTTTTGGAATTGTGGGTGAACGACGTATTACTTGTTGCGCAGATATGAGTCACCTCCTGCAACACAGGCCTTCTCCCTGAGACTGAAAAAGTTCTCGTTGCACATTCATCCACGACCGTATTTTCTTACGTTTTCTTTCCACAGACTATTCACTACGGCGAACCGTAAAGACACCGACCAGTCCATACTCGTCCGAAATACCACAAAAACGAGCATTACAGACGACTTACATACCACCGCCACAAACAATGTCTCAAATACAAACTCGCCACTCAACGCGACGAACGTCGTCAACACGTGATTCAAATTATCTTTATTATGATTCATGCAGGGATCTGTACGCCAGACGAAACGATGGGACTTTTGTAAAGTAAGCTTTGTGATATCAAGCGTCGACTACTGACCATGTTCGGAAACACTGTAGTATCAGTAATGAAAACTGACAATCCAAATCTTTGAACTCTTCCCACATACCCTTCTTTATCTTGCATTATTTGTGGTAGATTAGCATGTCCAAAGTGTCGCAGTTCGAAATTTGTTAACGTACAAGGATTCCTCAATCATTGTCGATTGGCTCATAAGATTGAATTTCCCAATCATGACGAAGCAGTATTGGTCTGCGGTATCCCAGTGGTAGGACGCTTGTACAGGGCTTGCTAACGTGTTCATGGCCTTGGTCAATTTAATTAAAAATGAGTTGTTTTCCTAGGATGAGAATGTTATACCACCAAACCATCCAGCTCGATCGCAGCAAATTACTCGGCCACCTTCACTTCGTACTATCTTAGGAGACAGCGGCGCAACTAGAACAAGGTAATAAAATGTATGACCGCTTCATTGGTTACATGGCTGCCTTTATTATCTTACTAATGATTCGTCTTGCTCATTAGCAAACGGGTAATGTAATCGTGTATAAAACAGTATTTGAAATAGCAGTGTAGCCCCTCGATGTACTTATTTCTATGTCTGTCATTGCTCAATTGTAACAGCCAAAGATCAAAGTATTTGAAGAGGACGTTGATTTGGGAGTAGACGATATTTCGGATCGCCACTCTGGAGCATTTGTTATTTCTCCAATTGAACAATCATCATTCGATGCTTCTCAGAAGGTATACTCAGGAAAAGGGCGACCTCAAGTTAACGAGCCATCATCTCTGGAGAATTGTAGCAGTCCTGCTGAATCAAACATTTCAGGCTCGTGCACACCGCTACATCAACCTTTCTCTTCCTATACATTGCCTGTGAGTAAACTCAAACTGGCTACATCTAAAATGTTATCTCCAACAACATCAGACTACTCATCTGACAGTGGATCAGATGATGACAGCAGCATTGACATTTCTCATGAGAAGGCACTGACACAACAGTCTGGTCAGTTGAATGGAAATGGAAATGGGGTGATAGATACTATAACAAAAATTGACATATTACATAGTAAAGGAGGTAATGAGCAAAATATCAAATCTGGAAATGAAGATGTCCAAGGGTCAACTGCTGAGACGGATAATGGAGATCCCATGGATATCGAAAGCAACGCTGAAAGTGATAAATTTTATGGACGAGATGCCATGGATATTGATTCTAAACATGCAAAAACCAGTCAACGTAGCGTAACACCTGAAACAAACTTACCCGCAGCTGTTAATAATGAGAAACAAACGGCATCCATGGAGTATGCATCACAAGAAATAACATTTGCATCGAAATTGCATTCACAACAACAACAACAACAACCAGCACAACAACAACAACAACAACCAGCACAACAACGACAACAACAACCACAGCCGCTTTTCGTTGGTGCTTTTGAGCCGGTAGATAGTGGATCTAGATTTTATTTAAAACGACGAATCATTGTAGGAAATATATCTAAATGGATACCACCAGACAAAAGACATCAAAAGTTAAAAGACTATACCCATCAATGGATGATTTATGTGGTTGGACCTCCAAATGCATCCAACGTCTCATCGTTTATTCGAAAAGTGCGATTCACTCTGCATCAAAGTTACAAACCGTATCATATTGTGGACGTTGTTGAACCTCCATTTCAACTATCAAGGCTAGGTTGGGGAGAGTTTCCTGTACGCATTCAGCTGTTCTTTGTAGACAAGAGAAACAAACCAGTCGAACTTGTTCATTCACTAAAGGTAAGAAGTTGGTCGAATTTATAAGATCTTGACCTAACTTGCATACGCTTAGCGTTAGTAGTAATGGAATACTGATACTTGATTTTTTTTTACACTTAGCTGGATTATAGTAACACCGGAAAACAGAAAGTTGGGGAAGAACGTCGTTTTGATTTAGAGTTGGATCGAGATACAACGTTTGTTGAACTCCGTCCAGAAGTAATTGGTTCAGATATCAAGAGAGCGAAATCCGGTGTTAACTACAAAAATGATTATTCCAGTGCGACCACTAGTCAAACAGATGCTTTACAAAGCGCAAAGGTCGACACTAAGAATACATCAGAACTCGAGAACGCTGTCGTTCGAACCGTGACTGTGGACGAGCCTGCCAAAAATAATTCAAAGACAAGTTTTGATAATAATTTACCAAAGTCACCTTTGACAATGTCATCAACGATATTACCTTCAGAAACGTCTTCAGTCCCGCCGCAAAATGTAACTGCACTAGCTTCAAATGAAACTATTCAAATAAAATATTGCAGATTTTGTGGATGTCCAGTAAATTGGCATGAAAGCACCTCAGCGAATATTATATTGGCGACGTACAAGTGTAAACATCGACCCGCATGCTTGCGGTACAAGAATAGTCGATTGAGCAGTATGGCTTCAGCAAGAGAAGCGCTTGGCACTTTCCTAGAAACCACGCATGAAGGTAGATATCATTTACGTATAATTCCCAAACTCGGGTGATAATTACTTTTTATTAACATACAACTTGTCTCGAAAGATGATGACATGGAAATTGATGTCGGGTCCAGCATACACGTGTCAGATAGTGATAATAGAGCAAGCTCTTCGACCATACTGCAGAGTGATGATACCAATGACTTGTTAAACAATTCACAATTTATTAATAGCCTTGATCCAGAAGGAATAGATTGGATATGGGATGTTGTTGATCAAATAAAGTTACCAACAGTATCAGCAACACGACTGAACGTTAACGAGGATCAAATGCCCATGAATGAACGCAGGGTGGCAACCGAGCAACGTTTGATTGTTGGAAACCTAATATTCCAGGTTTGTCACACACTATTGTGGTCAGAGTTTTTGCACTTCATTCGCCTCCCACTAATACAAAGTTTTGATACAGGCCACAAAAAATTTTGTCAAAGATATTATCAACAAATCATTAGAGATTTACAAGTCAGAACTAGCTGATGATCCTCTGCCAAAATCACGTCTTTCTTGTAAGGATCGTGAAGACATGCAAACCACAAAATTAACAAATCCAGACCAACTTCACGAGGGTGCAAAGATGCTAGTTCCATATCATTTATACCGAACATTTGTGAATAATTTAGACTCGTTTGATTTCTTAACTAATGCTATGATGGGTGAAACCGTTGAAGAAGATGCCCAAAAAGAGGCCGGATAAAAAAAAAATGACGAGTAGGATCTCGTCCAACAGATGAGAGAAAGGCTCTGGTTTGCGTCATGTTTCTTAATATAATATCAGGTAAGACAAAATAAGTATTTTGCAGTCCTGTTGCGGCCATTATTTATTACATATTTCTGATTATTGTGTCCCCATGTGCTAGTCGCGTGTAGATTGACACATCGAATGCAAATAAACACCCACAAGAACCGAAGCTATAAGCTTTACGTTCCGGATGAAGGCTTTTTAGTCTAGACGGAGCTTTACGTTGTTGCGTTCCTCATGTCTATAACCAGATGACGAAACAGGATAATGTTTGAGCAATTATCGTTGTCGCCGTTATATTGCTGTGGGCCGTAGATGTCGTATCTAAGCAGACAGACAGCCTATATCGTGTTTTGCAACGAGCAAGCTAGTTAGAGTGAAACTTTAAAGTTTGTTCTGTTATGTGCATTATACTAGTCAATATCGCTGTAGGAATGTTTGCTAAAATTCCTTGCTTTACTATGGAGTCACTAAATAAAGAAAACATGAATCGTTAAACCACGAATTTAAATTGGGTTTAATAGATCATCAGCCAATGTCATTAAACCAATGTTATTAAGCTTTACTTGATTTAGATTCGCCGAATTTCTTATGCACCTTCTCTTTTTGTCTTAATTAATAGCACCTTACAATGGCAATACAGTGCGGAACTGTCGATCACACTCTCCCGTTTTGTGCTAGCGATGAACTAGCAAAAGCAGTTGATCTTGATGTGCGATAGTTATGGTACAAGAGATAAACATAGTTATTTTCCCATATTCGACGGCTATGCACAAATGTAGAGTGTAATAGAGAGAGGGTGAACGAACTTTACTATGCATTGTATTTAGAAAGATCTCGTTTTAACGCTCGTTACAATTAATCAAATGCATCTCGCTTTAATGCGTGTTGGGACGACAATAATAAAGCAAAATGTTCATTAAATAAAAATTTTTTCTGAAATAACAGTAAATCATTACTCAACTTGAATTCATTATTCTAAAAATCGTAACCAAAATAAATACATTTCAGCCATTCCGACCTTGGCAATCGAAATGAATAATTTGATTATTAATATATAAACTCTAACCAATCTTTTTTTAGATAAAGTTACCATCCGTGCAAATATTTTACAAAAATGTGAATGAATAACATTATCTTAATAAGCAACAGTTTTCTGAACAAATTGTAACCCCTCTAAATTTTACCATAATTGTCTGCAAATGGTATCGAGACGACCAGAAGAGATTCACTGCAATTAAGATTATACTTCATAATTCTAACATCTTTCAATGACCGGCCTTTAACATTGTCCGACAATATGTATCTACTGTCTCTCTGCCCTTTTCTGCCCTACTTATTATGTCCACAGACCCATTTCCCTGTGCAGAATATGAACCATCCAAATCAAATGTGACCAACCGTTCTTTCTCTCTCTCCTTTTCTTTATGTTTACTGCTGTTGACTTCGCCATCAGCACCAACTACGCCACTTGCACCACTATCATCTGGCTCATCTAAACCCGCATTACAACTGCCCGACCCCGTCATTGTACCGTCATCAGCCCCACTTCCCGACATTGTATCGGCATTAATGCCAACGTCTATTCCTCCTCCCAGGACAACATCTACCTCTTCAGGAATGCTTAATGTATCTTTCACGCTTGGATATCGAAATGCTACCAATTCTTGTTCATGTTCCTTAACAGTTAATGGACTCCAGCTCTTTTCTTTACGATGCCCTGGTTCATGTTTGAGATCTTTCTTTGAATTGTTCAACACACCAGCTCGTTTGAATAATGACGATCCTGAATTTTCGTGCATAACTGTCCTACTCCTAGGACTAGAAGCGAGCGCGTTTACGTTGTTGTGTCCATTCGCATCGCCAATATCCGGATACCGACCTGTTACGGACGGTGATAAGGGGTTTGGCGTGAATTGTGTTGCCGGAAAAGTGTCCGAATGTATGAAATTGCTAGGCGACTGAGGCGGAGAGCATAAAACAGATGAGTACGGACTGTGAATAGATGAACGGGGGCTTATTTGTGTTAGTGTGCCAGTCTGCATAGTATCGGCGCTATCAGTTCTCTGATGTGTAGGTTTGTCATTGGCGATCATGTGTTTGGCGGAAACTGCTGGGAATGGTATGGATGCTCGTGAACGGATGGTTAATTGCGAAGGTGACGGTGGTATGGAAGGTTCTACTCGTAGTGATGGGATATCTTTATCTATGGATATCGGAGATGATGGTTCGTCATCTTTGTCTTGACGATTGTTGAATTTATTGGCTATCTTTTGCGTAGTCTTTTTTAGTATTATTTTTAGTTTTTGACTTCGTTTAAGGCTTTTTGACATCGAATCTAGTAACGATGGTATAGCGTCAATTGACTGTAGCGGTGGTGGGTTTTCCACCTGATGGTTGATTATTGAATAATCTGATTCACTGTCTTCGATACTATGTCGATATTTAGACTTCAGTTCTAGCGGTAATGTAATGACTTCTGGAATTACAGCTGGCGTATCTGCTGGCAATGAGTTTTCGAATCTTGCCCGTTCTTCTTCAGTCTCTCTCCTTAATTGAGCTTCAAGAGCTATCAGTTGTCGTTGCAAGTCCACATAACTCAGTACTAATTGTGATTTTGACTCTTTTGAAGGAGGATTCTATAAAAAAAAAAGAGTTAATTTTGTAAACGAATTAGAAGGGTGTTTTTTCTTTTTTTCATTATATATAAACGAATGAATATGGCAACTGATTGTGTAGACAAGTATAACAGGATAATGACCATACCATGCTGGTATGCGATTTCAAGTTCTCCTCGTTGAGCGGGTCCTTGTCATCTGTTGCATTCTTTGCTGGACGAGCTGTAGTAACAGAATGCAAAAGTGTACTCGTCTGTTCAGGCATCTCTTTGAATTTCGAACGGCAAAGTTCTCGTGTGAATTAATATTAAGATAAAAGAAAGTGTTCAAAGACAACAGAGCATGAAACCGTTTAAAGCCTTAGTATTCCCAAAGCAGGGGTCTTCTTGAAAGCTTTAAAGGGTTAATGCCACCCAGAATGGCCCGTAAATAAATTTTATGATGGAGGGGGTGGGACGGACGATGTTGAAATGTGCTATGCGTAGGTTGCGTTACTATAACACAATCTACTGCTGATTAAAATAAGGGGGATAGTTCGTGAGAATGACTTCCTTGTGACCATCGGAAATTTGGGATTCTCCCACATTGTACCATCTACATCCAAACAACGACATGGATTGTATGCCACTCGATGCATCGAAGGTTTAGAACGTACCATCAATGCATTTTTACTAATTTAATATGCGAGTACCACATCTTTTTGTATCATACAGGAAGTACCCCATAATAAACTGGAAATATCCAAAATAAGCTTTGGAGCCGGCGTATTTAGTGGTAGATATAATTCACTTGAAGAAAATTGGCCTCTGGAAGCAGTGCGAAGAGCTTTGGAGCTGGGTGTGTATGCCAAGACAGCTAGTTATTTAATGATTATAACTTGTTCACTTACGTTTACGCAGGAATAAACTGCTTTGATACTAGTCCCTACTATAACAACAGCGAATTGATTCTTGGCGATGCTCTTGAAAAATTAAAGAATGAATATCCTCGTTCACACTATTATTTATCCACCAAGTGTGGCAGATATGGACACACGAAAAGTGACTTTAATTATTCTCCGAAACGGGTCGAAGAGAGTGTTATAGAGAGTTGTCGTCGACTCAAGACGACATATTTGGATATTGTGTTGGCTCATGACGTTGAATTTGTGAGTGTGGACGAGGCGACCAAAGCTATTGAAAAGTTGTTTGAGCTAAAGGTAAAATTACAATATCAATTAAATATAAGAGCTGTGTGATAGAGGGAGGAGAAGCGAGCGTTGCATCGTCGAGTTTTGACTCATGCGTCAAGCACACGATTGATAATAACACGTCATCATAATCTTTCTTGTTAGGCGAATGGCATAATAAAACATGTAGGAATAAGTGGTAAGCTCTCTGTTGTACTTTCGACATGTCTGTGTCTCATCCACACCTCTCTCACCTCCCTTCTGCAGGCTATCCACTAGAAGTCCTACTACATATTACCGAAATACAATACGCCAAATCCCAGCCTCTAGACGTCATATTGTCGTACTCTCATTACACACTCCAAAGCACTTTGTTCGCGGACTATATCGGTAGATTCCGCGCCCTCGGAGTGAAGACCCTCATCAATGGTTCTCCGCTGAGTATGGGTCTGTTTCGCAGTTCTCCCCCTCCCAAATGGCATCCTGCTTCAACCGAGTTGCGCAAAGCAGCGGCTGAATGTGCAGAATTAGCCAAGAGACATAATTTGTCTATTGCGAGGCTTGCTCTACAGTTTGCATTTCAGTGGAAAGATGTTGACAGCACGATGATCGGATTATCAAACAAAGAGGAAGTTGAGTATGCTATCGATGCGTGGAACGAAGTAAAAGCACGGGAGAAGGGCGAGAAGACTATACCCGTCACTGAAGTCGATGTGTTGAAGGAGATTACAAGACTATTAGAACCCTATTATAATATCAGTTGGCCATCACCGTGAGTTGGAACAATATCATATTGTAATACTAGTAGTGATCGGGCCAGTCGGCAATTTTAAAATTTGGCCAATAAATAATTGCTTTGATTTGAAATTGTTGTTGATCGGAATTCTTTTAGAAGATTCATGAAAACCCCCCAATATTAAACCATGTGTCTCCGTTTATTAACTTTAAGTTTAACGTGTGATTATTTTCATTGCAAACGATACAATATGTGTCACACGGTATTGATGAAAGTTAAGCTATTGTCTTGTTAGTTGGCGAGGATGACAAGGATATCACTTGTACCATCAAAATATGATGGGGGTGTTCAAAGACTCAAACATAATATTAATATGTTGTACTCAATTGAAAATGTCGGCTGAATGAAGTCTTTTATGCGCCGCATTATGAATAACAAGTATTTCCGCCTATTGTTCACTTAATCGAACACAGTCGTAATTACTATCACCACTGACGATCACTATTACTATCGCTATCTGCTTTTTTTTTTTTGGAGGAAAAAGATATGCATAATTCATTGCAACATACATGGGTCTAACCATTTTGAGGAGAAAAACTTGTGACTCTTTCCATATTTGACGTATATTTGGGAACGTTCTTCATAAGGCAACCTTAAACTGTTACAATACGACGGTGAATGCCGTCATAGTCAGTGAAGTTTGTATCAGGAAATTGTGTATATCGAGCATTTTTCACTGGTAGAATCATTATTGAAAACTGACAACAGCTTATAAATATCAATCTTGGATATCGTTCTTTGTACCGCGTTGGAAAATTCCCTGCTATTATGCTAAGTGTCTCTGAAAAGAAAGAAAAAATTCTTTTATTATTATGGTATTTGTGATCATCTACAATACTGCAGCCGCCCGTGATATCCAAACGATCGTTTCATTAGTATTTAGTCAATCAATTAGCACCCCACCTCCACCATTGCAGCTAACCTAATTAAGCGGCGTTTGTTCATACGATTTTCTGCTCAGGCTAACCATGTTTCTCCATTACAATAATGCCATCCTTGTTGCACAACAAAGTGAACATCTGTGCCATAAATGAGAGGCTGATGTTAATGTGGCTAAGTTTCAAAGATGGGGGTTTTCCTTTATCGTGAGATTAACAATTTCTAAATTAATATCATGCCAGAGTGACTAACATTAAATTTGGCTGAAAGTCATAACATAATCTCATCTCTATATAAACATATATAAATTACCTTAAATTGACCGTGAAACCAGCACTATTAGAAGTTCTAAAAAAGCCCAATATCAGGGAGAAAAATTTGCGTCTTCTTATGTTTTTAAACTAAAAGATAAGCTGTTAAAACATCATAAGCTTTGTAAAAAGAAAATTAGAAAATAAATGAGGCCAATTTGAACTGATATATAAAATATTCATCATGAATAACATAAATAATAAACAGAAAGTAAGATACGTAGGGTGGCTGAAAAGTTGTGATCACGGGGCTGTATCACAGCCAAAGGGAATGGAATTCGATGCACATCGTTTCAACCGAAATTCATTTACTCGTTGTCGAGGAATCGCTTTCCCCCCTCTCCTTACTAAAACAGTTGGCCAAATGAGTAATGAATTTCAGTGATATTACGTTTTCGTTTCCTGGAAGAACGGCCGCGATGCAACCAAAACCATGAAGTATTATCCAATGCAGAGGGGAACGAGCACTACCTATGTTCACAATTAGACGATGGATTGTTAAGTTCAAATTAGCATTGATGACAAATCTCATTCTGGACGCCCTTGCGAAGCAATGACGTCACAACACGAACTTGTAGCTACAGTAATATCCGGAATTTTATCTACAAACGAAAAATTTTATTTGCATTATTTTTGTAGACTTAAATTTCGTATATATGTTGCCAAATGCGGTTACAAAACTTCAATTTTCCCCCCTCCCGTTCAATTAGCTTTGCAACATGATTTTTCATACTACCCGCTAACATAAGGAAGAGACACACCATCTATCTTCCATTTCTTCTAGTGGCATAAAAGAATTTAACACTGGAATATATTTGGTTTAGTGCTGTAGTGTTGTAATTTAACACCAAATCTTAATCAGAAAATTAAATCTTACCAATGAATATTCCAGAACTGCATTATTAACTATTGATGAAATAAGATGTTTTCCTTCAACAAATAGTATTCCAACTTGCCAGATTGCAAGATGAGTATGTCAGTTTTATCCAAAAAGATTCCACCAATTTTTTTTGTACCAATTGATCCATAAGTACCCCCATAGGTAAACGAGATTCTTCTGCTTGCAGTAATTGTACGCCTCTCTAACACTTTGCCGATAAATATCATCAGAGGTGAGAAATGTTCCTTCATTTATGGGAATAAGAGGGTGCAAGACAGAATGTCTTTTAATCATCTTCAAAATATCTTGTATATCTCCTTCAGCACACAAGTCATTTGCTTGTCCATTGGGTATCCAATGTTCATCGATAAATTCAAACTGTTGTTTTGCATCATTTGCCACTTGTGATGTATATTGACTCATCTTTTGTCTCTTCTCTCTTAATTTTCGCTCAACTGCATGCTCCACATGCCATAGGCAAATTTGAATACTAGCAGTCCAGGACCAAGCTTCTTCTGCAGCTGCTATCTCCCCAGCGTCCTTATCCAAAAGAATGAAACTAGGCAAAACTCCGTCCGCTCTCAGTAAGGAAAAGAATTCTTTTAGAACTTTTACTCTTGTATTGATATTATTAGTTAGATCATGTAAACGTTCTGATGAGGCTGCCATTGTAGAAACATATAGATAAGCGAACGGGACTCCATACCCGCCACAATTATTGATCACTGCAAATACCTCGAAATTTTCTTGATTGGTTTTAAATGTTGAATCAACGATTATTTCGCTGATGTTATTTGTTTGTATACGACGAAGGAAAGGCGTTGTAAACCCGAGTGCACGGACGAAGTCATTTTCAAGGTAAAAGATGACTTTATACCCTTGATCGGTTAGTTCTTGTTGCTCCAAGAAATTACGAGATGAAAGAAGTTGATTAGAGACATTTGTTACATATTGTTGAGCAGAAAATTTTAGAGCCCAGTAGTATACTTGTTGGTACGTATGAACTGTCGGATTAATGAGCTTTTCCTCACGAAGCCTTTTGTAAAATTCTATTTTTCGAAAACCGCGATTCACATTTCGGGATATCCAGGCTATGGCATTTTGAGGTATGTTATTTTCACGATATGTGGGATATTCGTGAGCCATTAAGTGCTCTATGTCTATAGTCGCTTGACATTTGTTGATATTAATATTAATCGTAATGTTTCCACCACATGGATATCGATCAATTGCAGGTCTCGCTTCACTTATTCTTTTCGATGGACGTTCATCCGGACCCGTAGATTTACGATTGTCTCTTTGTGCGCAACCAAGGTACGCTGTTGCTTCGCCAGTATACTGTTTGTTTTTTGTGTGAAGATAAATTTTTCTTATTTCCCAGTAATAACGAGATCCGGTTTCAATCGCTGGAAGAAAAGATCTAACTAGACTGCGGTATTTGCTTTCCTCATCGGTCTCTTGATTGTCGCACGAGAGAGTAACTAAATCATTTTCGAACGTGAAGGTTCCTGAAAAAAGAACTTGCTTGTTTTCTTCAACGTTTGTGAAGCAATTCGAAATTAGGTCTTCCAGATCTACCAAATCATACAAGGCTTCGTTTTCGACGTCAATATTCATTTCATCGCGGTTATCCTCAGCTACGTTTGAACTTGATGAATTTATATTTATTAATTCACTACCATCACTAACGCTCTCGGATCTTTTCTTCTTTCTCTTTTCAGCACAAGCGTTGCATGAAGAAAATTCTTTCAAATCATTTTTACTTAATCGAATAAAATCGTCAAGTTTTTTGCATTTTTCACAACGGGAACATCGTTTTGCTCGATCGTTGGTAATGTCAATTGTTTGATTGGAAGTAGCCATTGTTCAATTACTTAACAGTTAAACACTTTATTTGCAACTTCAGGAGACAGCTTATATATATATATATATATATTAGCTCCATTATGCTATATACAAAGACAATCTATCATAGTTCGCTATAATCGTTCTTTTACAGGAATTTTATTGATATACAATTTCTTCCATAATACGCGTTACTATTCTACAATGACTTCCATCAAAGCTATTTTATTTCATCTTAATAAAATCCCATTACCGTAGTTTTATAGAATTATAATTCTACTGTAATTGTCTTCATATATAGTAAAATAGGCGTTTATTAATTAACGTAATTTCTATTATTCTGAATAGCATAGCAGTAAATGTGTGACCATATTAGTAATACTCAATAATATTACCAATAAAAACGCGTGATTAATGATTAAGAATCACGAGACCGACAATTTTGTTGTAGCCGGCCGATTTCCGCTCCGGAGGTCACGGGACCGACACTTTTTTTGCGCCATGACTATGCTACTAGTCAGAAATTGCACAACGTCACCAAAAACATTTACTTTTTTTGCAACTGCGTAACCCGTTGTTGATGTTATTAAAAAAATTTGATGTGTTGAAAAAAGTAGTAAGCCGTTGACTGTAATAAAACAGAAGACACTTAGTATTGCGGGTAATTTACATCAACTTTTGTCGAATGAATCATAATTCATTAATTTTCAAGAAGCTAATATCATGTGACAGGAAAAAGGTATTCTCATAACTGAGTCTTGCTGCAATCAGGATATAACCGATATCACGATTTGTTTTTGAATAAAAAAAAACCGCCTTTGTTTACATGGCTTCTATATTTATATAAGTTTATTTTACTTGTCCTTAATTTCATTTGCAAAAGTAAACCGCCTTTTTCTTTGAATAGTTTCTCGTTTGAACCTTGTAAACATGCTCGAAGCACAACGTCAAGCAATTTACATTATTGGCTAAATGGAATTCGTTCTGCCAAAGAGTACACCAAATACGAAATTCCCTTCAAACTATTCAACGTAATCTTGATAACAAAGACCATCGAACATAAGGTGGCAACGGTCGTTCGTCCAAAGTTACACAAACCATATCCCGTTCGATCGGACAGTAACTCAGCCATGACAACTCGTCAACTTGCAATCAAAATTCAAGAAACATATGACGTATCTATTTCACATACTGACATTTGGCGACGCATGAAGAAAAAGGGATATAAAAGCGCCATACCGCTTGCTATCCCTAACGCATTTAGTAATTATGGCATATTGTTCAATCGACATATTTCACAAAGAAATGTTTGAGCCGGGTTGGGTTACGCCATTTTAATATAGTCGTGTTTCTATTTTTCACACTGATCGGAGAAATAAAGCTCGTATTCAGCTACTCAAAGCAATTAATCAATGTTTGCATCTTTGCACTGATGGAAGAATCATTACTAACGTATTAATGTCTTGTATTGCCTCACATCATAGAAGAACCATCACTAACGAATTCAGTAACTCAAGACGGCGCTTATGCACAATAACATGATGAGCCACGCTTATTACGCCATCTTATATTCGCACCAATAAAAAAACCATTACTAACATATTTAGTAAGTCAAGTATGATATGCCGAGCCATGTTTACTTACCATTGTATTGTATCTCAGTAATGAAAAAACAATCGCTAACGAATTCAGTAATTGAAGGCACTATTCTCACAATAACATATTGAGGCGCAATCATATCTTCGCACCCAATAAAAAAAAATCATTACTAACGTATTTAGTAACTCAAAGCATATTTCAGAATTGATATACTGAGCCATGTTTACTTACCATTGTTTATGGCTTCACGCCAATGGAAGAAACATCGCTAACGAATTCAGTAACTCATTTCACAAAACATATTGAGCTCTTATTTTCACGCCAATGGAATACTTCACAATGGATATGCCGAGTCATCGAAAAAACAAATGGAAAGTATCGGTTGGGGTGTGCATCAGGGATTTTGAATATCATGTATGGTGTTAATGAGTTAAACTTAGTAGAAGCAGCAGAGTTTCCAGAATTAGATAATATCCCTCAACGAACGATATCCTCGAGAGAGGCGGCAAGGGGTCAAAGCATAGTTAGAGAAGTCGAGTAAAATGTAATTGCAAAGGAGCATGTACTGATGGCCGATGTAGTTGTAGAAAAGTCAAGCAGGGGTGTACAACGCAATGTCATGAAAATAGTGTTAACTGTCTTAATTATTAAATTGTATTTAAACTTGGCCGTAGATTCAAAAGTAAATTTGTCATATCTAGTGTCATATTCTTTATTATTAATCGATGATTTCATCTATTTATTTCATATTTATTTTGGGACCTTGACGGGATTTACATATGTAAATGCGGGGTCCATGATTTACATATTAATATATAAATCCGGGATTTACATGGTGACGGGATTTACATTACAACATATACAAACAATCTTTGACCGTAACCTATGCATATGGCTAAGCATAAGTAATAAGCTGTAATAAGTTATGCTATAAACTATAAATATAATACTATTAAGATTCAAAAGCCGTTTTTGTTGCAATCTTTTCAGAAAACAGATATTTTAAATAAAGATAAAATAAAAAGGGAGAATCTACATAACACAAGCAGATGCCATTAGTGGATGGCAAAGCATGAGACAAATACTAAGTGGTTAGATCTTCAAATTATGCTAAAAAGTGTTTGCTAAATAAAGCTAAATCTTTCCCTGATATCAGTATAAACATTTCATAGCATGTCCTGTATGTAATTCATTACCATTCATAGTTCTTGTATTTGCTCAATTTGTATATAGAAATAGCCCCACTGTCATTATTTCAGTTTGGTCTTGTTTTACTTGGACCAGCTATTTGATAAAATGATTGAAGAACTTGAGCTTGTTGATCATCAACTTGTAGATTGGCTGGTTGGTCAGCATTTTTTTGTTCAGCTTTTTTGTACAATTCAACAGCTTTACATTTATATCTGGCAAGATTATCTTGAGCACTAGCATGTCCCTGTTTAACTGCTTTTTCATGCCATTCAACTGCTTTCTGTTCATCCTTTTCTGCCCCAATTCCATTGGCATAACACTGACCAAGATTATATTGAGCACTGGCATTTCCTTGTTCAGCTGCTTTTTTATACAATTCTACTGCTTTTTGTTCATCCTTTTTTACTCCAGTTCCATTGGCATAACAAAAAGCAAGATTACATTGAGCACTAGCATCTCCCTGTTCAGCTGCTTTTTCATACCACTCAACTGCTTTTTGTTCATCCTTTTCTACTCCAACTCCATTGGCATGACATACACCAAAATTATATTGAGCACTGGCATTTCCTTGTTCAGCTGCTTTTTCATACCACTCAACTGCTCTCTGTTCATTCTTTTCCACTCCAGTTCCACTTTCATAACACCAACCAATATTATTTTGAGCACTGGTATCTCCCTGTTTAGCTGCTTTTTCATACCACTCAACTGCTTTTTGTTCATTCTTTTCTACTCCAGCTCCATGTCTATAACACCAACCAAGATTATCTTGAGCACTAGCATGTCCCTGTTCAGCTGCTTTTTCATACCACTCAACTGCTTT